CAAAAGCCATAGGACGCCTCGCTGCGCCGTTATTTTCGGCGGTTTTCCTCCCCGAGATTGTTTTATTTCCAGACTTGCATCCACGTTGCACTTTGCCTGAGCGCTAAAATTGCGCCCGCGTTTAACCTTCATGGATTCGTGAATTTTCCACAACCTTTTCTCATCGCTTTTAACTCCTTCGTTACAGAAGAAACCACTTGCACATTGTGAAACCAGGGCAATAATTGTATGTACCCGCATTTAAAATCGTCGTGAAAGGTTCACGCGATTCGAGTCAGAGTTGAAATTCGAATTCGTAACGGGCATGAAAATCGCAACTATCATCCTCTTCTCGGAGTAATACTTAAAAAGTTCCGTTTATCCGGGGGTCGTTGATAGTCTGAAAGAAGTTGGTCAACGCGTTGAAAATGAATGCGAAGCAGCGCGCGAGGAAACGAGCTCGAGGCCTTTATTAAACGCGGCCGTTTGAAAGTACGAACATCTTTTACAAATAAAAGCTGAATACACAAGACTCAAGAGTGGCGCAGTGCTTGAAAAGGAAAATCTTCTACACGGTTAGTCTTCGCGTTATTAACAGTCCTTCACTACCTTTTTACTGCTCTTCTTCGCTCACCAAGCAATCTGTACATCGCCGGATCCTATTTTAACGGCGAAATTACTTTCGGCTGAGGAAAAAGTAAGTTGCTCCTTCATCTGCTCGATGAATTCTGAAATGTATCACGGATCGATAACGAATAAGTCGAATATTTGATTTCATTCGTTCTGGAGGCGCATCTGCCTTAATGCTTTAGGTCCAACTACACTTGTAATCCGTAATAACCAGACGACTCGCTCTTTTAAAACGCTCCCCGATAGCTACTGGTTCCTTAATAAGCTCGAAATTAATATCGATCGGCCGTTTTCGTATGCTTATTTAATATCAACGGCAACTCATCTATCCCAGATATTTCCTTTTTGACGAATACGCCACAGAAACAGGGGAAAAGTGAAAAACATCGATTGGGAGAAGTTCAATGCGCTCTAATGTCAACTTCAACATCCATCGCACTAATGTCTCGCGAACAATTCTGTACATATATCAGAGGCGTTGATGATTTAAGAGTGACGAAACGTAGTAACGGATGACTGGTAAAATCGTTTCTTAGTCTATATCAGGGAATTGTGTTGAAACGAAAGACAAACAAGTTTTTACGATAACACTTTTCACATACCGTGTACGTGCCGTGTATTATTACATAATTGTATCTCGATACACATAGCGTCGCGTCAGCAGCGTAATCTTACCTCTTCCTCGATGAAAATTGTCTTTTATCATCTGCTATGTCATTCGAGCAATTCTTTTTTATTCGAAATTCAAGTACTCCCTGTTACCAAGTGAATCAGGGTAAAAAAAAAAGTATGCAATTTCGTTCTAGAATATTCTACTTGCCGAGCCGAAAGATAAGATGGCGGGCAGGGGAAACTATCTGGCAAACTCGGTTGTTTCAGCCACGAGAACTCCGTATTCTGAGCAAAGTTCGCGACGCAACATCATGCGTTCGTGAATAATCGACGTTTCTTGAGAAAAAAATTATCAGCGATATTGTTATCAGCGACACTCTTGAAAACCTTATCCTTGTTCCTCCGTTTCTAGGTATTGCCTGTGTCGTGCGACACTTCGCCATTTCCGGCGAATCTAGCCCCGGTGTCGTTCTCCAAGAAGTTTGTCCCGTTTGATAATTCGATGAACGGAAAGCAGCGAGGTGAATTAGCGAGATGGTTCGACGATCAAACGCTGTCAACGCCGACGCCGACGGCGCGCCGGAGATATGATACGCATGTGTAAAAATTTGTGAATTGGAAAAACGAACGAAATGTGTCACTGGTTTATGGCTCGGCCCGCGCCTCGCGACGAGGGGCACGGACCGGGCGCGGGTGCCCCTCGGTTCGGACAACTCTCGGCTGCTTGTTATTCGGTTGCCTCGGACACAGTCCCTTTTTCGTGTGTCGCCAGCGTTAGTGCGGAAAAGGGTTTTGGAAATGAACAGTTTGAAAACCATCCTCTCGTCGTTCACTCTAGACTACCTCCTACACTGGCAAACATTTTGGTCCGGTGCGTCTCGTTGGAGCACAGCGTTCGCCTTTGATTCGTGACAGTCGAGCCGCGAATATTAACCGCGAAATGGATATTCGTTGCCCCTTCGATTTTATTCCCGGTTCTCATAGGAACGGAATAAAGGTAGCCGGGGGAGCGGGAATGGACTTGATGAAGCCTGGAAATTCGTGAATTTCTCGCGAAGTGGGGGGCAAACGAGAAAAAAAGTGCAACGTGTATTTGGATGGCTGGTGAAGTGCATTCACAGGTCGAAGGGAAACATGGCGGATCAAAAGAGACTTTGGTCCAACGATTCCGGATCATTTCTAGCGCGAAACGAGAAACAACTTGGTAGATTTTCATTGCGTTTGCCGTGCCCTTTAATGACTTGCTCTACCTACTTGTGAAATCGACGAAAAACCACCATGGTGCGTTTCGTTTCAAGGGGAAAATATTTTCTGCGGCAGAGTAAATGCCACGTACGACATTCTCGTTTCGTGAGTATCGTGCCAAGCGGTTCCATATTTTCCGTTTCGCGAACAACGGATTTTTTCCCACAGTTTCACGTAGCCGGGCCGGTGCGCACGAATGCCTAAACGAGCATCCGATTACTACGGACTCCTCTAACGGGCTAACACGGTCCCCGTTGGAAAAAGTTGCAAAAACTGGAAACTCGCGAATTTCACTCAGCTCGCTGACTACATTTTTTCCCCTACGACTTCAATTATCACGAACGATTGCGCTCCTCGTGAAACGCACGCGTTGCAAACTGAATTTAAAAATCTGTGACAGGGGTGGAAAAGTCACCTCTCTCGTTCATTCCATTCGATCGGTCGCGTCAATGGGTGACGAACCGTTGTGCAGCCTGATCGCTCTCTAGGTATACACCATTACTCTTAAGTATTTTCATTTATGTCTGTAAATCGTTTGGAATAATTTCAAATAAATTCAAATAGAAAAAAGGTACTACCTGTCATCTTTGACATATTTATACTCTAGAAATTCGTTGTAATTAACTGCTCCCAGAAGCAAAGCTGGAGGAAACGTGTACGCAATATTATACAGTATTTATCGAGTTGAACACGGAGACGGCAGATTCCTATCAAATCGGGCACGTACGGAGCTCGAAACAGAGCGCGGATAGTACGTTCCTATTTCTACACGTAGAACACAATGTTGCGGAAGAAAAAGCATTCAGATAACAGAATGTTCGGATAGTTGAGTATTTGGATAATAGGAATAGTAACAATGGAGGCGGTACCACCAAACTCCTACTTGCTAATTGAATCACACGATACACGAGAACTCTCTAATTTATTTCCACGAGTTTCGCCCACCTATCTTGCAGCTAGTCGCGTTGTATCTCGCTTCCCTCATCACCTCTATCATCTCTATCAAAGATCTAGCTATGCTTTCTCCTGCAATTAACTCGTGTTACCTCTATATTCTCTTATCGACTTCCTGTCTAGAAAACCTTTGCTTAATCGAGATTTTCCTCTGAGTTACTTGTTTAATTTGCCTGTTGCTTAAGGGAAACGATAAAAATCGACTGGAAGATCGGAGGCTATAATCAGACGCTATATATGTTCCGCGAATAAACGCGATCCAGCCACTCCGATACATTTCGCAGACCTGTTGCTGCGTAACGCATGCACCTTCGCGATAACACTGTCTATTTCGGTTCGCCTGTCGGCCCGTGAAAGCCCCGGGAAATGATTCTCTTCGCAGAATTCTAAACGAATTCCCAGGCGATTTTATCGCGAAAAGAAGAATAATTCTTTTGAAAAATTTAGTCACGTACACTGTTTCTGTCGTTTCGATATCAAGGAAGAAACTATTCCAAACGTGGCCTACCTTTCACCAGTTCAAACGTTGCTTCTACTTCTTTGACATCCTATGAATATTTGTGCATAACACACTTGCTTTGAAACGAATCTCGAAACCGTGCAGAGACTGGGTGGTTTTTAATTGACGCTCGTGGAATCCGTGGTGGGTCTGTTGAAAAATTCATGAAATTCTAACGCGATGAACTAAGCGATTTTTGAAACTTTCAAGATCCCCCCCCTCTGAGACTGTAAGCTATTTGCATGTTCGTCGAACGCCTAAGCGGAAACCCAAGTCGAAGCACGACAATGTCGAATTAACGCTAACGCGAATACACTCTTGAACGATAAGACAGGAAAGACGTGGCTTCGAATTTCGCGAACCACAGCGGAAAATGTATCGTTGAGAGCAGCTTCATCGTCACAGAGAGAGAGAGAGAGAGAGTATAGATGTATATACTTGGCTGACGTTTAGCGACCGCCTCTGCAGTTCATCAGAGCTTGGTACAATAAACACGATTCGTGCGGTCTTCTTTTGAAACACGTTGTTATTTGAATCGTGTTAGGGGAAGGAATTCCTGCCAGTCAGTAACAATCGTATTTCACAGAGTTACGTGGGTAGCTAGTAGTAGACATTCGAGAACGTTGATCGATGAATTTTCACGAGAAGGAGGAAGTCTTTAACCTTGTAAATAACAGCATAGCAAAACTGATCTTTTAACATCTGAATGCGTTCCTCCCCTTGGGAACTGCGCGTGAACAATGTTCGCGCGTGAAAGCGGTCAACATGGAATAATGAGTCGAAATTCAGCGACGCCTTGGCCAATTTTCACAATTTTCTTCCTACAGGCTTTTCCAGCAACGCGATTCTGAACGATTCCTCGGATTCTTCCCAAACTCTCCGTCCTCCGGAAATGGCAAAACTTTGCCCCGTTTCGAAAACTAAACGTTGGTTTCTCACGGTTACGAAATATCGCTATGACGTTGTCCCCGTTGAGATTTTCGAGAACTCGTTTCTGCGCGAAACAGGCAACGTCACGAGACATGGGGACCAAAACGAATTTGGAATTTCAACGAGAAACTCTCGCCTCTCTGTTGCAGATATGACCGTGTTCTCGACGAACAGATTTCTGACATTCGTCTTCCTCGTGGCTACCATCGACGCGATGGTGCTTGGATTTTGCGGTGCAACTTTGGTTATGGAACAGGATATCCCTTCGAGAACCTGCAGATACAGCAGGACATATTCCATGATCCAAGTTCGTTGCGCGAATCTAGGCCTCGAATGGATCCCGTCGAATTTGAAAACGGAAATTCAGGTAAGAATATGCCCTAATTCCATCTACTGTCGATCTGCGATATCTCGTTTTGTGTTTGCATTGTTAACGAAACTCTTGTTCTCCACAGATCCTGGACGCATCCGTGAACAGACTGAGAATGTTGACCAACGACAGTCTAGCTTTGTACACGAATCTCGCGTACCTTTATTTGGGAGACAATTTCCTTCAAGAGATCCAAGAGGGAACCTTTGATAATCTAAGATACTTGAAGGTGCTTGATTTATCAAGGAACGGTTGCGACAGTTTACCCAAGAATCTCTTCCATTTACCGTATCTTCAAAAAGTCTACCTAGGCGAGAACAAGCTTACCGAGCAGCTGTTGAATCGCATGGAGGTGAAGTCTCCGTTGACTTTTCTTCAGTTGTCGAGGAACAGAATTTGCAGCATCCCTCAGATAGGTCCTATCCCCACTCTGATCCACTTGAATATCTCTGACAACTGCATCACCGATATTAACCCCGAGGATCTCGCTCCATTCTGCTCCCTCAAGATCCTCGACCTCTCTAAGAACCCCATCAAGTTCAATGCCGACAGCTGCGAATGCCAGACGTTCAATGCGTGGCTCCAAGCACGTGGAATCCAATCTAAACCTATGTTCAATTGTACCGAGGAGCTGGAACGGGGCTGTCCAAAGGCAGAGTTCACCAATAGAACCGCGGAATTGTACAAACGGTGCTCAGATATTCTACGGCTGCAGGTGGAGACCGAGAAAGCGAGAAGCACGTGGATATTGATCGCCTGTTGCATCTTCGCATTCCTCTTCTGCCTTTTCGTCAGTCTGTTCTGCGTACACAAGAGGAACAAACGGAAAAAGAAGAAGCTGAAGGAGGAGCAGAGGTTGAGTGCAAACAACGCCAACACTGAGCTGCTGAATAGCAATCTGAACCAGCCTGAGAACACCTGAAAGGTGGGAACGGTGTTGAATCGTTAATGCAGAGGTACTTTAGATTGATCCAGTTATGTCTGATCGTTGAGGTGAGAGAAAAAGGAAGGAAAAGAACACGACGGTGAAGAGCGGAGAGTTAACCTTCTCTTAACAAACAAAGTTTTCTTTTCATACGCATCACCGAGAGGAAGCCCATTCTTTTGATAAATGCACAGTGTATCCGGTAACAGCTGTGGCGTGTAATGAAAAATGAAGCGATCCTCCGGAACATAGGTCGAAAATGCGGAATAAAATTCTTTCACGAGGCCTCGCGTTCGAGGGAAACCGGTACTACCGAAGCTTGTTTTCAACGAATATCGACGAGGCAAACGTGTTGTACAGTGGTGGAAAGTTAAAACGAGGGGGTTGTTCGCTTTTTGTGCACGGAAAGTGACTTTACAGCCGGTTGTACCCGTACGAATATTAGGCTGCCAGACACTATATCGTAGTATCGATTCCTTCGACAGAGAACCAACCCCTCGCCTCTACGAATTTCATTTCGCATTTTCTCGAGACACGGAGGAATCAAACTTTCTCTAGTATGGCGAGAATGAGTCGAATTATTCCGAGGCAGCTAATTATACTCTTATACTAAACTTGTAAAATTGTACTTGTAAAAAATTTACAAAAGAACGCAGAATTCAATGAACTAGTAAAATAGTAAGAGATCGAAAGAGAGCGAAAGAGGAAGAAGGAGAGAGGGGATGAGAAGCGTAAAATAAAATAAAGTCGCGGTTAAACGCACAAATATATATATATATATATATGTTCGACTAAAAGTAGTAGCAACTGCGATCTCCTCTCGGACTACGATTATGGCCCGACTTTATCAGCAAATTTAATCGAAAACCGATATCCCAAATTCCTGTCGTTTGTCCTGTTTCTATTAGGTATAAACTAAGCAACAATCCTGATTGTTGTTCACGTAATATTATCCACAAGTCGGGTTGGAGTTGTCGATGTTCTAAAATCGTAAAGTAGCCACACATGTATGTTCGTTAAAGTGAAATTAACGAAGGCCGGCCGAAAATGCGCTTTTAACGTAACCACTTGTAACCTCGTTTACTCGAGGCCGTACTTCGTGTACGTATGTACTTAAGTATGTATGTATATGTCAATTTTTGGGCGATCTCCGTTATTTGTCAGAGAAAATTTGTTTGAAAACGAAATGTGGATATTGAATTTTTAAATTGTATATTCCTTTTCTTACGATACGTGATGCGTGTTGCAGATATATATACACATATATGTATGTACATATACACATGTTAATTATTATATTTATTTATATTTAACGAGAAAACTATTTTCTTTCTGTTACTTTCATCGTTCGATTTTTCAAAGGCATTTTCCAGCTGACCACAGTGTAGTGCTGTTTCATAAACGCAAATTTTATACCTGCTTTGATCAGACTATCAGTTTAACGTAACATTGTGCTTTCTTGCGAAAGGTGCCAAATAATGTTAGTCCATTGTGAGTTGCGGTGAGTTTTTCAGTTCAAAGTGCGTCACACGATGAAGCGAAAATGTTTGAAACGCTACCCACGTCATGTCAGAAAATGAAGACATTAGTTCCTAATATTTGTATAATTTTCCTCAGTTACCTGTCTCCACAAGAAACAGTAGATAATGGTACTTAAACGAAGGTTGATCTTTTTAAGCGTTCAGAAGAAAGAGAAAAAAGACAGAGCAGGTTAACGTTTTAGACTTTCAACTAAGATGGTATACTCTTACGTAAGACACGAAGCTACAATCTGCCAAGCTAATGAATATTCTTTCTATGCGTGCGCGTTGTGTACTTAAAACCGTATTTCTAATACTTTTCTATATTGATTTTTCCTTAACTTTTAATACGTATCAAATGATACGATGAATTCCACGAAATAAATCTTAAATCTAGTCGACTATTGTTTCATTGAAAAACCCGAATTTAATTCAAATTCAAATCAATGTTTTTTTTTTTTGAAAATACCTATGTTATTAATGTAATATAAATGTCGCGATTTAATTTATTCGTAGAGGCTATGTCGATTAATCAAATTAGTCTGCATCTTGCACTTTTTACTGCCAGATGGCCACCACCTTTAGTTTCCATTGATTTCAATCAATTTTCCGAATTCTACCACAGGCGAAGTATAGAATAGAGCTATAATCTTATGAGACTTTATGTCTCACGTTCTGAAATACCAATCGTGTAAAAAATCAGAGGATGTTATGCCCTTTACGACAGTAAGCGGTGAGTTTAGGAATTATATACAGTCCAACCATCAAAGATGGTAAAGTCGACAGATGTAAAAAATCCTCTTTTATTAAATTTGCATGTAAAGATATTTACATATATTGGATTGCGTGGGTAGAACCACAGGTGTGGTACAGGATAGACCTTGCCCCTAATGTATTTTTGTGTCCAATGTTCTGAATTACCGATCGTGCTAAAAGTCAGAGGATTTGTAATGCCCTCTACGACAGTAGAGCGGTGAGTTTAAGAATTACATACAATCCAACCATTAACGATGGTAAAGTCGACAGATGTAAAAAAAACTCTTATTAAATTTGCATATAAAAATACATACATATATTGAATTGCTTGGGTAGAACTGTTAACGATCTTTTGGCAGCAGTAGAACAAACGCATGTGATAGATCATCTACTAAAAATTAATTATGTTCCTTTTTTATTTGTAATTTCATAGTTACGTTTAATTCCAATTCTAACCACTACTAATATTGTAATCTTATTCTATGCTGAATCAGTAGCGACACGAAAATGGTAAGGGTCTTCTCGGCCCCAAAGCCCCGGACAAAACGTCTCATAAGATGCAAAGTCTATCCTGTACCTCGTCTGCGATAGTAATAATTTTATATTTACATTTAGTTCTAATTTCAACCACTAGTAATGTTGTAATCTTGTTCTATGCTGAATCGATAACGTTGAAAGTGACATGAAAATGATAAGGGGGCTCTAGAGTCTCCGTGATGTGGGACAAATAACGCATTGGATGATGGGTGGTATGTATATTCTATATATACTTCGTCTGTGATTCTACATCATTGCGAATGATTTTTTTCTAACTATTTTCGAACTGTTGTTCGTTCAGTAGTACATATCTAATTAGATATACTTATTAATCTGGTGGATTAACTATCTTGAAGAAAATGGTGTTGCTCGTGTATCGGAGATGTACTGTTGATAAACAAATTCTCTTTCCACTGATGTTTCACAAGATGTCGTGCTAATCGTAATTATGAAAGAGAAAACGCGATGATACAGAAACGTACAGATGTACCGAAGATATCTGGCGCGGTATCACGTGTTGGTTTAAGGTTAACCAATGACACATGCGAGCGCAAGCCAGTGGAGCACAGTCAAGCAACGGCCTTCTACTTAAATGGTTGTTGCTTGTCATCCAAAGAATTGTTGAGCAATCGAAAAGTAATGGGACATTCACGTGCTGAAAAGTAGACAAGCTATCCACTTTGATCGTAAGTGCCATAAAACTTAAATCGAATATCTTCTTGTGTTTTTCATCATTATCGTTTATTTTCTACTTCAGCGTATTTATCAAACACACCAAAATTTATTATTCCGGTCACCTCGGAAAAGTGATTAATTGAGAGACTATATGTACAAGACGTGTTTCTATCAATCAATGAATCATTAGTAGCGATTTCAGATTGAGTACGCAGTTTAATATGCATTTATTAACATGTAAATCATTTTTTACGCCGCCGGTTAAGCATTAGGGAATCGTTTTCCCGCAACGAACACGTGTAGATTAGATCGAACGAGTAAAGTCCATCTTGATAGATGACAAGCGGCTTAGTCAGTGCTTCCCTGAACCATTCTTCCAAACGATTATTTAATCCACTATTATGTAAAAGGTTTATAGTGAAGTACTCCCTAATAGTGTTAAAAACGTTTAAAGTTATAGTATTAAGCGATGGTGGTTTATCACTTTATATTTTATCATTGTATTTTATATTGTTACTGTCAGATTTACAGTTTTACAGTTTCAGTCTATTTGAACAAATATCACATTTTTTTTTTATGGATGCTATAAATAGTATCAATACAGAATGAAATTAGAGTAATGCCTATTGATAATGATTCTAAGTCTGATAACTCTGTTGATATTTCTGAAAGATATACATATACATACATGTATCTTTTTTTGTACGTGCTGTTAGGCTTATTTTTTTGACTTATCATTGTGTAGATCACTTATCAGAACAAGCAGTGTACTTATTCCAGTTGATAATTAGGTACATACTGTATCATTCATGAAACAAAACTTGACAAAACTATTTTAATAAAACTTTTTCTTTTACAAAGCTGCTTTAAACAAATAATATAGTGTAGATAGTATTGTGCACTTATTTTGTTTGATGGAAATATATATACTACATTAACAAGCAAGTAATCACATTTTGTTGATCATAATCATTTGATCAATAATAATTTTTTGTTCTTAAAAATTTTATAGGAAAGACTAATAAATGAATTAGAAACCAACATGGATGGAAAAGTAAAGCAGGAAAGGAAAAAGCATCCTAGAGAAGGAGCAAATCCTCTTAGTATTTTAACTTTAGCGTAAGTTTTAAAAAATCCAATGACTTATTCACTTTTTCTTGTGTCTTTGTGTATCAATAATAAACATGAAATCAAGGTGATAATTGAGTTATGTTGCTTTAAAAACAGCTTCCTATCAGATACAAAGAAGCCTTGTGTAAACAAAATAAGAACTATCTTGAATTACACTACTAAGCAAATATATGAAGTTTTCAATCTATTTATTGTTATCTATTAGTATTTTCAAGTAGAACTTTTCGAGGGAACTTTTTCATTATCTTTAATCAATTACCATTGATATTAGTCGCTCAATAACAGAGATAATACCCTTGCCTTGAAATATTTGGCTCAGTCATTGATTTAAAGATAATAAAAAATTAAATTACAGACTTAAATTGATCGATTCTTTGGCACTGATTTTATATTCAGCTAGAACATTATTTATCACAATAATAACAATTGATTTTTATTAATAGGTTTACATTACCTACTTTTTGGGTAGGTTGTCGCAGAGACTTAGAGGTGACTGATTTATACAAACCTCTTAAAGAGCATAAGAGCAGTTACTTGGGTTCAAAGATATCAAGAATATGGGAAAAGGAATATCAAGAGTATGAAAAGCAAAAGTTACTTAATGAAGGGAAAGGCAATGGTGACAAAAAGTATGATGAAAGAAAAAAGTTGAAGGAGCCGAGTTTAGTTAAAGTTCTTATGAAATGTTTCGGTGCTCAAATAATGTTGTATGGAATAATTTTAGCAGTTTTGGAAATTTCTCTCAGGTATACAGTTGTTTAATTTGGTACACATTGCTTATTACGAATGTAGAAAATCTAATGATATCATGCACTGAACATTAAAATATTCTTTTTACCTATTCAGATTATCACAGCCTCTGTTTCTTGGCCTTTTGATTCGTTACTACAACCAGATGAATTCTGAACCTATACCAGTACATACTGTAAAGACCACATTATACAATTCTTCCATTTCGCAAGTTCATGAAATTGAAGATGCGATGAAACCGTTAAGTCCCTTAACCCGTTGTGTCCTGTACCTACTAATCCTGTTTATTATATCTGGCATGTTAAGGCTTAATTAGAAATTCTTTTGTTTTCCCTTGGTGTATGAAATCGAATAATATTATTTGTAACTTAACATTGAA